TCGAGCCTCGTTGGTAGGTTTTTCTAGAATGTTCAAGATGTCGCTGATGTAACAAGTGTTTGTAAACCGTTCCGTTGAAATAAAACGGAGTTTGTGTTCATCGAGAACCGTGAGTTTCTTCAGTGTCACTGGGAATGGGCGAAAACCTGTATCAGAACATTAAACGTTCCCCACAAACTCGCTTTCACATATAATCAATTTTTCAATACTTTACTTCTCCCTAAATTCCCTAAATATAATTAAAGCTTTTGATTCGGGACTTTTATGAACAGATCTTATTCTGCAATATTCAGCAACACCCTCGGAAATAACATAACAGTCCTAAGAAAAATGTGTGTCTTAACAACAAATCTTTGTTTTCTTACCCGTCTGTCAAAGTTTCATTTCTTCGACTAATTTCTTGAAAATACAAATTCATGATACATACATTCTGTTGATACCTTTCCATTTCTGACACCATGTGCCCTACACCATCAGCAGTAATAATCATAATTACAATAGATAGTTTTATTATACTATTGGCTAGACTGTCGACAGTCGGTCGTACCTAATATTAATCTGTTATTATTAATAAATATTGTGTATAAACGTAATAGGTGTGAATAAATTGCGAACGCCGGGACAGGAAGTATGAAGTGCCGTTAGGCACGACCGACTGTCCGGTGCTACAATTCACTGGTAATATTTCTTACCAGATCCGGGTACTTTCATATGCAAATGAATAGTCGCGCAGATGTCTATCATTTTATCGTGGCCAATCGTGAAAAGGGTCAAGGGTCGCTGGCTACTAGGATCGCCCACGACTTAAGCAAAGTTCTATACGCGATTGCCACACTTTCCACAGCAGTTTTTGATATCATGACACAAACAAATCGTGACGAATACATTATAAAAGTGCTGGAACGTTTAGACTACCATGATATTTCTTGTAAAGAATACCAGCGAGTTACTATCACAAATGTGTTCGTCGAGATGTGTTCGTCAGGGTGCCGTGTTGACATTCGTCTTGTCAAAAAGAACTTGTTTCGAAACCAGGGATCTCCCACTTTCAGTTGCCATTTCCTTAGACGAAAATGCTTGCGACCTTTCCAAAAACTCTCGCTTAGTTTGTTGAAGTTTCCTTCTGAGTCGTATTCATTATGTTCATAATGTGGACAACCAACGCATTCAGGGGGTCATTTAGAATACATTTTCATACATTATGTTAATATAGTTTATTTCGTGACGTCAGCATCAACTATGAATTATACATATCAACTAGAAACCTGCAGACAGGGACAGTCTCTCGGGACTAAAGTCCCTCGCGTGAAATGTTTCGCATTTCCCATCAAACATCTACGGCGTTCGAATGTCTAGGAAGCACAATTACATCAGGCCGGAGGACTGTCGACAGTCTAACTATTGGTCAATATATCAATAATACTACATCATTTCTTTTTTTATTTCAGACTAGATACGTCATTTTTTATCTATCCTGGGGGGCCAGACAAGAAAACGTTGGGTAAGATGTACAACAAATGTGGTGGATACCTAACACAAGATGTTTACACCTTTGACAGACAATTCTTCAAGATTCCTCCAGGTATACATTTTAATTTTCAAGTGTTGGCTGTAGTCTCAAAAAATATCCCAATACTATAGGGAGAACCTAATTACATTATTACAGCAATGACTATTTATTTCATCTTTCAGATGAAGCGAATAACTTGGATCCTCAAGTGAGAATTCTACTTGAAGTGGTTTGGGAAACACTGGAGGATGCTGGAATAAAACCATCTTCAATACGAGGGTCAAATACAGGCGTGTATGTTGGCTCTACTGCCAATGAGTATTCATCAATGTCTTTATATCCATTTGACAACATTACCCAGTATACAAACTCAGGTACCAACTCATGCATGCCATCTAACAGAATCTCATATGAATTTGA